AGCTTTTTTAACCCATCATGCGATCATTGTGTTTGCAATTGGGGGGGGGGGGGCTGCGCTCCCCCCAACCCCCCGCTTTTTAAGCCGTGCAAGCTTGCTTCAAATCATATGATAAACCATCATGCGATCATTGTGTTTGCAAATGGGGGGGGGGCTGCGCCCCCCCCCCAACCCCCCCGCTTTTTTCAGCCGTGCAAGCTTGCTTCAAATCAGATGAGTCTTTTTCCAACCCATCATGCGATCATCGTGTTTGCAAATGGTGGGGGGCCCCCCGCCTTTTTTTTTAAGCCGTGCAAGCTTGCTTGCAGAAAAGTTTGAATCTTTTTGAAACCCATCATGCGATCATTGTGTCTGCAAAAGGGGGCTTGTTTTGAGCAGTGCAAGCTTGCTTCAAAGCATATGAGTCTTTTTAGCCCCCCTCCCCCCCTCGCTTTTTTCTTAGAACCGAAATTGAACCTCAAGTCTATAAACCCTAACCCTCTGAACTCGAACCCTCAACCCCAGATCCGAAAACCCTCAACTCTAAAAACCCTCGACGCTAACCCCAAAGCCCTTCGGACACACCAAAGACCGCCCCTATACTCCCTGGTTTAGGGTTTAGGGGCTTCAGAGGTCCGTGTTAAAAAGGGTTTAGGGTTGAGGGTCGCGCCCCCCGCCCCCCCACCCCGCCCCGCTTTTTTAAAGCCGTGCAAGCTTGATTCAAATCATATGAATCCTTCTTTACATATATAGACAAAATAAAGGTCTTGCTATGGACAGATAGAGACAATGGAGGTTTGTTGTCCTATGTAAATATTCACAAAATAGAGGTTTCCCTGTGTAAATATAAGAAAATCATGGTTTTCCTACGTAACAATAGTGAAAATAATTGTTTTCCTACGTAAATAATAGCAAAATGTAGGTTTTCCTATGGAAACATAGAGAACCGCTTGACCCCCCCCCACCGCCCCCGCCCACACAACCCCCCCCCCAAAAAAAAAAACAAAAGAACAAAAAACAAACGACCGCCCCCACATGGGACGTGGTCAAAGAATGCTGTTGGGATGGTGTTTCTTTTAGCGCTTGTTGGACTCGAGATTTCTTAGAGTTGAGGGTTACATGGGGTCAAGCAAGTCCCAACGTCAAGGCTTGAACAGGGGGTCCGTCCCCGCGTCCGTCCCGTCCCGTCCCGTCCCGTCCCGTCCCGTCCCGTCCCGTCCCGTCCCGTCCCGTCCCGTCCCGTCCCGTCGGCGGACATCGAAAACCAACTGGCGGACATCGAACCGGAACCGGCGGGCATCCATAGGTCACGTCTTGTCTTTCGTTGTCATGATGACTTTTTCGTTGTTCGCCGGTAATGTTCCTTCAAGCACAAGGACATCGTGGATTCAAATGTTAGCGCACTCGTTGACTTAATGAGTTGGTGTGGTGGCAGTGCAATAAGAACATGCAGGAGGCCCAAAAGGATCAAAAGGTATGCAAGCAGCGACAGCACTAGATTCAGAATGACGGCCTCGCCCACGCCGGAGAAACGTGGCGGCGGAAATCTGAAAACGAACGGGCCCCTGCACGAAAAGATCTCGAACAAACTACTATATGTGTCAACCAACGGAGCATGTTGACAAGAAGTTCACGACGTGAGCGCAAGCTTCGACGGTGGGTAGGCAAAGTGACGGAAAGCGTTGAGGATCTCACCGAGCAAACCGACGTCGCATGTCAACAGGCCCATGTATTGAAGCTGTTGTTGATACGCCATCTGAGGGCCTTCGGATTTGGTAACCAAAGTGGTATAGCTGCTAGTAGAGAGTTTGTTCATGGTGATGAGATTTTAGCAATGTGTTTGAGAATAGCGGAACATGTTTCAATGTTTCCCAACTCGATCTTCAAAGAAGAGGCAACCCTTTTAAAAAACTTTTTCTTTTACTCACGGATGACACGGATCCACTTGCATGACGTCGTTAATGTGTTTCTCTCTCTCTCTCTCTCTCTCTTCGAGAAAATTGATATCGTTCGGAGGCTCGCGAGGCTTACAACGAAGGTGGGTAAAAAAAAAACTGAAGCTGTTGTTCTTTGCCTGCAACGCAACAAATGGTCTTGGCAGCCGACCGCCCAGAGCACGGTGACGTTCATCCGAACTAGCCCTTTCGACATTGGGGGGGGGGGGGGGTAGGGTAGGGGGGTGCAGGTGGGGGAGGCAGAAAAACGAAGGTCGGCCCCAAATGAATCCGGTCCTGATGCGCCGTCCGGTGCCAGACCGCAGTGGCTAGCGGGGTACCCATTCCAAGCAAAATACTATTGAATAATGGGGCGCAAACACTGGCGGGGGTGAGGTACCCGCTTTAGACATGCTACAAAGACACCCACAGCCCGAGGCCTCGGCTGATTAGTTCAACGTGCTGGCTTGCTGTTTCACGTTTTCCTAGTCATTGATGTTTTTTTAGAGCATTCTTGAACTGACAAGAGAAGGCAGACCAGGTAATTAAGCCATGTGTCAGAACCGTAGCTTAAGTGAGAGCAGCGATGGCCTCTCCAAGCAGGAGCAGCTTGGCATTGCAGAGGGCGCCAAGGCAGACGCCAAAAAACTCTGGGAGGCAAGGTGTTTTTTGAGGTTTCTGCTTTTGATAGCCAGCGATTGCCTTTTTGCGGAGTTGGTTTGGTAGAAATGACATTCCACCTACACAGAGATGTCAGGTGCTGCGAAGGGGGCAAGCAAAGTAAGAGAGCTGGGTTTGGATCCTTAGGCAAGGCAACGCTCAAGGCAGCATCGCGTAGGCGTGATGGCTGCACTTTTCTTCTGTGCCAGACTGTGAAGACCACCTTCGGCCGGCTCCAAAGCAAAACAAAGTGATCGGGCAGTGACTGTGTTATGTTGGGTTGATGTCAGAAAAGCAAGTGTCACATGCCTGGGCGGCCACAAGAGCATTGCGATCGGCAAAAATATCTTTTCGAAACGACTGGGCAGCTTGTCAGCAAGTGCCAGAGAGGCTCGCATGACTGTCTGACTCCGCTTGTGCATGTCTGGCACGAACCCTGCAGATCCCAGCAGTGAGAACATGTGCGAAACACTGGCAACCCTTGTAGAAGTTCATGGCAAGGATATGGCCAAGCAGTTTGTGCACATGCCAGGTCCTCAGACATGAGAGGAAGTTGCCGTAAGTTTGCGTCATGGAAGGTCTATCATTCTATCTACTAAAGAAACCTGCAAGTTGGGAGCAGGAACTACTTCGAAATCCCATAGACCAGCACCACCAGCAACCTAAACAACTGCTGAAAATACAGCATGTCTCCGTGGGGGGAGCTAGTGGTCTAGTGCCCAGCATCGTGAAACTGCCGGGGCTGTAAAATTGGCCTGATCCACCAAGCCTTTAAAATGATTAAAAAAGCAAGCTATCGGACTCTGAACCCTAGGCTGTTATATAGCTCTACATGCTTCACGGTGGCTTCGAAAACACCAGCGTCTCCTTGGGAATATATGCTTGCCTGAAATGGTAGTATACTTGCATTAAAGACGCGCAAGTACCGTGGTGTCGGCCACATGCGCGAGGTATCTGCATGTTCTGCCCAGCTACTTCAAGCGCAGCGTCTACTTGGGGGGTTCGTATTGTTTGATGCATATTTCCACGATTGATGCATAGTTTCTGCGATGCAGCATCTACTTAGGGTGATGCATATTCTCACCGGTGAGGTGAGATAACTCTACCCCTTGTAGGAAGGGACACCACAGTGGGTATGCAGCAAGGACCTAGTGAGGCACTCAGAATTAGGGGATGCAGCTGTCACGAGGCAAGTGAGCATATGGGAAGGACTTAACTGAGGTATGTCAGAATTTGAGCAAGAGAGCGAAAGCAGGATGTTGATGACTTGTGGGCCCTGAGACAACCAATTCAGGAAGTCCAACGTCAACACGGACGCAAGTATTCATGCCTGACATGTTTTTGCACGTGCTCCTGACAGCAAGTGTTTAAATGAAACACGTACTAGAGTAAGGGCGGGGAGCAGAGAGCTTTGCGGAGGGCTGGGGGAGTTGGTCGGCAGTCAAGTTGGCTTCTTGTTTCCCCCACTTGTGCTGCTCACAGCCAGAGCGCATTCCTGGGTGGCCAAACTGAGGCCGAGCAGCGTGCCAACTTCAGCAAGAAAAACTGGCAACCCCCCCGGAAACTTCGAATCCTGTTAACTTCCTATAAACCACTCGAGACCCTGAACCCTACACCCGTAACCCGAAATCTGTCGCCCCAAAAGATGAAGCAGCCTGACCGACAAGCCCCGTACCCAAAGGAGTCGAGTGACAAGTTCATAAACAGCAACCGCCCAATGCGGTTTCTCGAAGCTTGAGGCCGGGCGCTTTTCCCCGCTGGTGCGGGGTCCAGGTACTCCACATCTGCCGTCTCACCCGACATGCAGCCAGAACACAGAGCTTGGATTCTGATTCACTCTCGCGTTTCTCATCCATCCTCGAATCCTCTATTGCTAAGCAGCTGAGTCGAGCTCTGAGCAACTGGCTGGCTGCAGGATGACCATTGACTTGGATGCCTTTCATGAATCAAGAAGTCAGATCAGATTTTTCCTGGGGCGTGCCACTGAGCCACCACTGACACAAAGCAGCTACCTACACAACGGCCTCATTGCATCTCATTGCACAGGAGCTGTTTTAGGGCGCAGGCTGAGGTCATCTGAGGTCCCAATTTGATCACCAAAAATGGTGGAATTGTTGCAAGTTGTCTTGGCTTCTTAGCGCTTGCTTCGTGCCCTGCTCTGTGTAAGCTGCGATGGCATTACAACGATCCACCTACGGACCGCTTTGTTTCTGACCTCTCCTGACCTGGTATAGCGTTTCAACACCTCCAACTCCTTCAGTCACGTGAGTGTTGGCATCCAGAGCGAGTGTGCAAGGACACTTTGTAACACCACTCGGATTGTCTCATCCCCTTGCCGTTGGCGTCTTGGGCTCAGACCTGGGCTTCACAGCAGTGAGGTCTCAGTGAGGTCTCAGGAAGCGCAGGAAAAAAGGGGTTGACAGCTCAATGCAGGCGCCCCCAGCGCTTGCCGTTTACAAAGAGGCGCCCTCTTTGGGTGGCAGTGTTGGGCTTCTGGCAGGACAGATTCTAGGGCTGGCGGTGTTGTTGCCGCCCTTTGCATGCCTGCTGCCCTTTTCCATGTTGGGCCGCATCCTCTTCGGTCCGGACCCCACGTCACCGAGAATCTCCCTTGTGTGGCTCCTGATGCGCCGGGCCCTCTTCGACCCAGTGGTCAGAAACGAGCGGGGAATTGTAACCCGGGCCCGAACCGCCCTGAGCATCCTGATGATCTCCATGCGGTCCCACTCACTTTGGGCCTGCTGCTGGTATCTGGATGAACTCTACGGCTGCTTTGGGGGCTGGAAATCGCAACAGGTCACACGACCCGTTTTCCTCATCTCCAACGCAAGGACTGGGTCGAGTGAGTTTGGCGAGAGGCTCTGCACAGCCGGAAAGCACCTCATTGGGCCAAACTCGCTGCAGTGCCTCATGCCCTATACTTGGGTTTGGCGACTTGCACGCGGCGTCTTCCGCGAGGCCAAGGAAGAGGACATTGCAGTGAAAATGCGCGAAGGATATCAGAAGAAGTTCCCTGAAATGTTCAAGCGCCACCCCCTGCAACCTTTTTCTCCGGACACCTTCGAAGTCGCCCAAAACATGACCTCCCTCACCTTCGGCTACCTGAACCTGCTCGCCGGGCCCAACGTCCCTCCTTACGGGGCCGACCCCGACAAGGCGCACCTCGCCTCCGACGTGAGGCAACTCTGCCGCTGCGTGGATGCCCTTCTGAAGAAAACTCTGCACTTCTACGGGCGAAAGGTGGGACGCAGACAAAAGTCCCATCTACACCCCCAGGGCAGGGCTATGCAGGGCTTGTCAGGGCTCTTATATGCAGGGCCTTTATCAGGTTTGGGGGGTCCCAAGGTCTTGAACCCATTTCATCCCAAACAGGTAAAATCAGGTAAACATTTTATGAAACATGTTTTTTCTCTCATTTTTTCGCACCTGCGCCTTTTCCCTGCTCCGCTTCTCACGCACGCAAGGAGCGGCCCTTTCTAAAGGGGCACTTCATCCACGCGGCTGAGACGCTTGCAGCACAGTACCCTGGTGCCCTCTTCGTCGACGTGGTGCGGGAGATTGAGCCGATGCTCCGCTCACAAATCAACTTCGTCCATGTGCTTCCCTGTTGGGAGGAGCATGGGAAGCAGGTTTTTTTGAGCAGTATGTAGCCCCTTGGACGGCAGTGTCCTTCCAGAAAGTGAAAGGGATAAAGGGGCTGTTGCGCAGGAGCTCGGGGTGCAGAGCGTGCCGTGGGCGTGGCTCCGGGACCACCTCCTCCGTGCAAACATCGACTACTGTCAACAAGAGATAGCCTTCTTCAAGGAATCCGTCCTGCGAGAAAGGCGAATCGTTCTGAGGTTCGAGGACACTTGGACCCTGCCCGTAAACCCCTCAACTCCTTCGTGACTGTAACATTCGGCGTGCCAGGATCTGGCAACGTCATACTCGTAGCAAAGACAAACATGAGATCCGACAGGTTGTGGGTTTTGCGCGGGCGGTGTCCGAAGAGATGTATGCAGTTTGGCAAGGCTTCCCATTGTTGCATACTCTGTAACCTAGGTGCCCAATCCTGTCAACTTGCTTGTTCTACTGCCTGATGATGTCAGAGCAGGATTTGTGCAGCGTTTCGATTGACACCCCCTTGCACCCTCTCCAGGTTTAGGGCTTGGAGGTCTTTGCTGGCAGCTCGTTTTGGTGGTGGTAGTCGGCAGAAAAAAGAGGCATTCAGGGGCCTGGTGAGCCTTAATTCGCCCGGGCAGCTGTTCGATTTGAATTTATATATGTATACACACACATATAGTTTTTTAATATAATCAATATATAAGAGTATAACCTATTACAACATAATGTAATATCATATAATGTAATGTAATATTGTATTTTATCTAGGTTTTGTGCTAGTTGTGTTTTGTTATTTTGTCTTATCTTAGATTATATTGTATCATCTTGTAGAATATATATATATATATATATATATATATATATATATATATTATTATTGCATATAGTATGATATGAAATGACGATATGATATGATTCTGATCTAATATGATATTTTATACTGTTACAAACTACATTATAACAGAATCTAGTAATTTGATTCTGCTATGTTGTATTATTTTGAATAGCACTATATCATATCATAGCATATCATATCATATCATCTCATATCATATCATACCATATAACGCAATATAATGGAATATTTTGTAATGATATGACATATAAAATTACATAATCTGGCTGATATGATATGCTACGAGATGGCACAGTATAGTATAATATGAAACCGTATAGTGTAACATCGCATGTCATGGCATGGTATGATTTAGTATGATAAAATTCTTATTTTTTAAAAATATAACATATTAATCATATTATGACGTATAATAGAAAATACTAATTGCAGCATACTATGTTATATTGCAGTAATTACATGTAATGCAATTTACTATAACATAATACAATGCAGAAAGAATATAATATCATGTAATATAATGTAATATAGTTGTTGTAATATAGTTTCTGAAGCTTCGACCTTCGGCCCCAAACCAGAGACCCATGTCAGCCCCCGACCCTGCAACAGGACTGCGTGAAGGATCCTACTGGCTCCCTGCAGCAAGTGTTCGAAGCCGCTGGAATCGAGGTACTGCCGGAAGAGCTCTCGCAAGCAACAGGGAACGAACAATGGTAAGTTTCGGCCTACTGCAGCCACATGCAGCCACTGTTTTTGGTATGTTTTTCTAACTTGCAGCTTTGTTTATTGACTTGACATCATTGGTCATGCGCTGGAGTTCTGTCTACGTCTTGATTGACACTTGTTTCACACGAAATCACCTGCAGGCAGCAACACGGAGTGCAGGTGCCAAGAGCGACAGGAACTATGACATCGATGTCTCTTTGGATCAGCTCCAGATCCCTGCAGGGTACCTCGCGAGCACCTTCAATGAATGGAGGCAGAAGATGGACAAGGACTCTTAAGTGGCACAGATTAACATCGTCAGTGAGGCGTGAATCCGTGCCCCACCGATTAAACCCAAAGAACCCAAAGGCTTGAGCTTTGTTTCTGTCATCAAAGAAGCTGCGCAGTGTGTGTGTGTGTGTGCGCGCGCATGTGCGACAATGCTGCACATGTTCCGGGATGGAAGCATTCATGTTGGCAGAGTTGGAGCCTAGAAAAGCGTGCGCTTTGAGATCTCCCCGATGTTCTCTTCGGCTCAAAGCTTGGCACAGCCTGCTTCAAGCTCAGAGGCCATAGGGCCACATAGGTCCCAGCGGCAGGGCTAGAGACTTCTTATATACCCCTTTAGGCGTGGACGCCCTCTCGGGTGCCTCATGTCGACAGCGGGAGAAGTGGAAGCCCTGTCTGGGATCTTCTCGTCATCTTGGGATCCCAGACCGATTTTGGAGTTGGATTCGAAGGCGCATGTGGCCCGGAGCTTGGAGACTCAGGGGTCGCAGCGCCCTGATGCCACGGCCCTGCGGTCCCATGGCTATGGCATGAAAGAGCTGGCGGCCCAAGACACCTCCTTCATGGCACTTAGACGGGCGTCTTACTTCGTGGCGAACCTTCTGGCGCAACATGGCCTACGGAAGGGCGATGTGGTCTTCTTACTGGGCATGAACTCCCGAGAAACCGTTGCAGTCATGTATGGTGCCTGGTATTTGGGATGCGTTACGGCGTTGCTACTGCCGTGGCACAAGGATCGGAGGGTACTTCTGAGAACCACACAAGCCAAAGCCGTGGTATGCCCCAGTGCCTACTACCAGGATATTCTGCACGAAATCGATGATAGCTCCTATGTGAAGCTTCTTCTGCTGACCAACACCGACATGCCTTGGCAGGGATTACCCGCAAGCGTGAAGGACGAACTTCCGAAGCTCATCCAGACAATTTCATACAACCTGCAAGATCTGGACAGCCAGCCGTTCGAACCAACAGGCTGGAGACCTTTTGCAGCTGAACCCGAAACCCTAAACCCTGACATAGCATCAGCCTTGAGGACAAGACTCCTTTTGGGTGGAAAGATACGATTTCGAGCAGGCCGAGGCCCTGAGCGAGGATGCCAAGAACAGTTTGGGACCTGGCTTTCTAGGGGTACGTCGGGGTAAGGAAGATTCCAAGATGGCGTACTGTAGGGGGGGGAGACATGGGCATGAGCGGCATGAGCGGCATGAGGCTAGATGCAGCAGGCCTCAGCAATTGTTGATGCCACTTGTTGACGACACGCTCCGCGCCAAGGTTTCGATACCACTTCAGGCTCAGACGATGCGATTCTTGTGTTTACCTCAGGCACGACCGGCAGACCCAAACCTATTGTGCACCGGCACATCAACATCCTGGTGACCTTTATGCACTTCCAGCTCTCTTGTTTTTGTTCGGTTGTTCAGATGTTCAGATGTTGCTCTCTTTTCTGTCACAAGCCCTCTTATGGTATCCTTAAGGCTTTGGTGGCTGAGCAGTTTGCGCGAGACGTGTTAGACCTGCAGCCCACAGACGTAATTCTTCCCTGGGAGACGCTTGACACGAGACTGCCAGGGCTTCGGGTATAGGGTCCAAACTGTCCCGGTCTGTTCTTGCATGGAGACTCGGAGAGCAGAAGTGCACGGTGCAAGATGGCGAGGAGGAGCGGGCGCATGCTAGTACCGCTATTAGTTTCATGCTCTTCAGAATTTCGGATTTCTGTGCCGAGGATGGTTAGCAGCTGCTATTCGTGCACAGTGGCTGTGATTACTCCGCTGTATTTTGGATCCACGGTGTATCTGGACTACTCTGAGCCCACATGTCACATCAGGGTCCTCAGTGCAACTCAGTTCTGCAAAGCCGGCGCCACAATCTACGCCGCAGTCCCGGACTTTGTCAAGAACCTGGCGCAGCGCGTGCACGACAAGGAAGAAGGCCTGGCCGAGAGCTTGAAGCCGCTCCGCAAGATCCTCACCGTCGGGGACCAACTTCCCAAGGCCACGCTCCTGAACTTCATCCATGAACCTGGGTCATTGAGTCATAGTTGGGTATGTAACTTGGGTAACATTTTTACATTGTTTCTGGCAGTTTATGGATACTTAAACGCAACAAGGAATAACAGTGATCTTTTGAAGACTATCCCATGAATGAACTAGGAACTTCCCCACATCGACGTGTGCAATTGCTACGGCAGCTCCGAGATGCTCTGCGTCATCGGCGGCACGGAAAGCGAGTCCAAGTACTCCGGGCAGTTGTTGCGGGGTCTCGAGGCTTGTGTCAGGAACCCGGTCGAGCACAAAGGGGACGGCACAGAAAGGGCCTCCTTCTCTGGGGAGCTCCTGGTCAGGAGCACGAACCCGGAGGTCTTCCCTCACTTTCCGGCGCTCCGAAACGCCGAAACCAGAGAGCGCTTCCAGAGACCGAGCGAAGGGCACGAAGGGCAAGGTCGGAGCTGGTACTGCACAGGTGACAAAGCCTTGGTCGAACAGGATGCCAGCGGAACCTGGTGGTACCGCTTCCTTGGCCGATTCAATCTGGTCATCGTGCCTGATCTTGATCAAATCTATGGCGGTGCCCGGGACCTCTTAGTGGAAGATGTTCAGAGGTGTGACGTGGCGGACAAGCTGTTGCTCAACGTCGGCCTCTACGCAAAACCTTTTGACGCATCCGGCCAGGTCCTAGCCAGTGCGATCCTTCCATGCACGGTGTCCAGCCAATATGTTTTCCTGGTGCTCGTCACAGAAGCCTTCTCCTCTTCTCAGCCACCAGCACAGAAAGACTTGGAAGGCTGGTATGCGGCTACAGCTTCTGGCATGTCTGAAGAGAAGCTGCCACTGGTGTTCATCCCCGAGAGGAATGTCCCACGTCAGCCTCCGTTGAACAAGCTGAAGACCGGAGAAGCCCTCAAGCAAATGGAACACTGGATGAGTGACAATGACATCAAAGAGCTGTCTCCTACCATTTGTGTGAAGATGTCTGCTTCCTTGTGGTGAGAATGCGTGGCAAGTGCGGCAAGCATAAGCCTTTTCTCTAAGCATCCGGAAAAAAGGGAACTGGGCTGCCCTTTTCGTGTAGCGTCTGATGGGCATCGGGATGCACAGGACCTTTTTGGCTCAACAGATAGCTGTCTCACGACGTGTCAAGAGGTCTTTAAAAAAATCCTCTTCTCTCATGATGCCCGATGAAAGGCCTCAAGAGGCACTGCCATGGGATGGCGGTGTGCAGGCCAGCACCGACCTGAAGGCACATGTTTTCAAGTGTTTCCAAGTGTCTCTTGCTCAGTCTTGCTCGCTGCGCGCTGCTGCGTGTGACCGTGTGGTACTGGTGGAGGTTTAGTGTTGAGGGTTCAGGGTTTAGGGCAGCCTGAAAGGACTACTGGTATGTTGTGTCTACCACGGCTGAGCTTTCCGCTGATCGGCCTCACAGTGTACGTCTGCTGGGGGAGCCCCTGGCTTTGTTTCGTGATGCTGGTGGGGTTGCACGGGCTTTCTCAGACAGATGCCCGCACAAGAGTGTGAAACTCTCAGACGGTAGATTGAAGAACGGTACTTTGGAATGCTTCTACCACGGTTGGCGCTTCGACAGTGAGTCTGGAGCGATTGCGCACGTCCCTTCTCTGCCCCAGGACTGTGCACTCCCAAAGCAGTGTGTAAAGACCTTTCCTTGTGTGGAGAAAGATGAGTTGATCTGGGTTTACCCTGGCAACCTAGCAGATGCAGATCCAGCGAAAATTCCAACAAAGCCGGTCAAGACGGACTACAGGCAAAGGGGATATTGGCGAGTGGAGACAATGATCGATCTTCCATGCGACCACTCTTTCTTCGTGGAGAATTTGATGGACATGGCCCATACCCCTTGGGCCCATGATGGTGTTTTCAACATGCGCAGCGACGCCATGCCCTTGGTCCCGAAGTGGTACATGACCCCCACTGGGATGTATGGCTTCCTCGAGGTGAGGCGAGAGTCTATACACCTCTAGACCGCAACCCCGAACCCTAAACTCTGAACCCTAAACCCTAACCCTGAACCCCAAACCCTAACACCTGAACCCTGAACCCTAAACCCTAAACCCTGAACCCGAAACTGGAGGAGTACCGAACTCATGGCCAGCTAAAAACTCTGTCCTTCGAGTGGCTCGCGCCCTGCAACAACGAGATTTCCGTCCGCAAGAAAGGCGACTTACCATTGCTTCCTGGGGCTTAGGGTAAGGGATCAGGGGTTATGGGGTTTAGGGTTGTGTTAGTACAGACCTACGCAATGCCTTCATTCCCTACTATCACACAGCAAGGTGAGAGCTGGCACGCGCACCTTTTCTTCTACAACACGCCCACGGCACCAGGGCAGATGCTCTACTGACAGGGGAGTGTCGTCAGTAATATTACAGTTTAGGGTTCCTCTTATATAAGTACACTATGAGATTCCCCAAAACCCTATTTTGATTCTGCAGGCCCCTAAATTTGGACCCTACTTGTTCAGATTCAGGAAAACCCCCAGATAGGCTTACGATTCGATGTTCACGCGTTTCGGCACAGTAGACGACAGCACAGGATGAGGCACACATTCGTCGTGTACAGGAACGTCGACCGCTTTCTTCAGTACATCCCGAAGTGTTTGCAACCTCCGTTTGAGTTGTTTATCATCCACGGCGACACGGTTGCGATGCTCTCGCAGGCCAGGAACATGAGGGAAGGCTGTCCGCACATTACGGTAGCGACTCCGAGCGACGAGATGGCCATAAAGTACCGCAAGTGGTACTCGAAGGCTTTTGTAGAAAAGGCCCCATGGTGGAGGGGCTGGGATGGAAAGCTGGACATTGAAGATCTGGCAACATCTGCCATGGAAACATGTTTACCTCAATTCGGCCGCGGCGTCTATGAAAGGGCAGCCGCCAGCACGAACTCCAGCACCAACGCGGAGCACATTGTGACCATGTGGAAGGTCCAGCGCCGCCATCGGAAGCCTCTCGGCTTCGAGCAGCCCTCCTCCCTGCCCTTGGCCATGGTCCTCGGCCTCGCCGGTCTCGGTCTCGGCATCGGTCTTTCTGCTGGCTTTCTGGCTGCAAAGCGGCACCCATGATTGCAGTGAAGATATCTGCATGATTTGACATCGTGCGGCACTGCGGCACAGCCGCCTTTTTGATTCGCACAGGTGTGTGCACCAGTCGTGTCAGGCTTTAGAGGTGTGCAGTGTGCGTCATGAGATCATGTGCACTTGCTGCAGCACCATCAGGTGGTGAGTCTGCACAGCGCTCCAGTCTGCAGTAGCATGTTCCAGCCATTGAACTTGCTGCGGACGGGGCAGCGAGCTTGACAGGACCCGTTTCGCTTGACACGCTGCTCAAATGTGCACGGGCGGTGTGGACTGTGCCTCCAACATGCTTCTCATATCTGCATCGCTCGCTTTCGCTCGGCGTTCTGAAGTTCCAGTGCGTGACTCCGATGCCTGCTTGCAGTAAACCTTTGCAAAAGCCTCGCTGGAGGCTTGCATATGCCCGCTGGCAGCTGCTTTGAGTCCTGTTTGTCGATCTGCAGCTGTTTTACTCAACAGCAACAACCGAACCCCTTTCCATCATGCTCCGCGCATTCCAAGTTCTCTTTGCTGCAAGCAGTGGTTGGCTGAATGTAGCAGGTGCGGAGTGCGAGATCGAGCTTCAGCAAAGTGGTTTCTTGCAGGTGTCTTCTGTTCTGAACGTGACGGAGGATGTCAAGCCGCGAGACTTAGCATCGGCAAAGGGACTCCCGCAGACAGCGTCGCAGACAGCGTATCGTTTTTCCGAGCTCTATGCCGCGCAGCTCCTGGCTTTGTGCAAGACTTACAAGAGCGCCATTTTGGGGGTCAGATCCAGCACCGAGGTCACCGAGGTCCCGTTGAGACACGAGATACCGGACTGGCTGGGGAATTGTGGCACAAGCGCCTTGGTCTTGGGCTACATCCTCCTGTTGCTTGAAGGATCCAGGCTCTTGATATGGCAGACGTCATCTCTTTCGTCTTGGTTTCAAGCAAATGACGAGGCTGCGTCCGGCACGTCCGACACTTCTGACACGTCGACAAAGCGGCTATACCCGATCCTCCTGCTTTCCTTCAGTGCCTTCGCGATGATGTGCGAGACGAGCTACCTCTTGAACTTGCCGGAGATGGCAGCAGACCTGGGCTGCTCGGACAATTTGGTGGCAATCACTGTCGCTGCAAACTGGATCATGAAAGGCCTTACGGCGTCCTTGTTGGGCCCTTTGTCAGACAAAGTCGGCCGCAAGCCGATCATGGTGGGGTGCACCATTCTCCTGATTATCACACCCTTTGCCTGTGCTGCTGCCCAGAACGTTTGGTACTTCCTGGCCGCGCGACTGCTCCAGGGTGTGGGAGAAGGTGCTGACGCCGTGGTCAACGCATTAGTGCGTGATGTTTACAGTGACTTGGGTGAGCGGTTGCAGATTATGGGAAAAATCCAGGCTACGTTGTTCATCTCGCCGCTCATTGCGCCCTTGCTGGGCGCTCTTGGAGCCGTCATTGGCTGGCGCACTGTCTTTTACATTTTCGTGGTGTGGGGCATCATCAACCTGCAGCTCGCATGCTATGTCATTGTCCACACGCATCGTGTGGAGACTTCGCTCAGCGAACACCTAAACGAGGCTCGGAAGATGCTCAGCAACAAGCCTTTGCTTGGGCTGCTGAGCGTTCTCGTCGTCACGTGGAGCTTGAAACAAGGATCCATTACCGCCTTGCCCTTTATATTGGAGGAGACCTTTGGTCTCAATGAAATCCGATCTGCCGTCTTCCTGATCGCGCTGCCCTTCTTGACGGCAACGGGCATCATCTTAGCGACCCAGCTGAGCCGGTTTTACGCTCCGGTAGAAGTCATCGCCTTCACCACACGCCTGGCCTTCTTGCTGGCGATCCTTTTCCTGGTTTTTGCCCTTTTCTTGGCGAACTCCGTGTGGGGCTTGATGGTGCCATTGTACTTGTCAGCCTCCATCAACATGGCCAGCAACGTGATCGCCACGACCCTCTTCATGGAACCCACCAAGGAACACGCGGGTGCGGCGGGTGGCGTGCTCAGCTCCGTCCGCGAGATCTCTGGAGGTGTCTTCTCGCTCTTCGTGGGGCAGCTAGCCATCGCCACTAACTCAAGGGGGCTCTTGTGCTTCAACGGCTCTTGCATGGCAGCAATGGTTTGTTTCTTCTGGTTCGCCTTCGGCAGTGATCCCCCGAAGTGGGCCCTCACGGATGGCAAGTAGTCCTGAGGTTCCTGGCACCTTGTTCGGAGATCCGTAAGGAGGTCCACCCGTCGAGGAATGAGAAAGCAGTGTCCCCCCCCTGCATCTGCTTCTCAGTGGTTTACATGACGGTGGTTTCTTGCTTGCCTTGCAACAGTTGGGCAGTGATGCAGTTGTGTGAGCAGCCGTTTGAAAGTGAGTTATTGCAGACTTCGCTGCGCAGATTCGTAGGCGCAACCTTGTTGCCACTTGGGAGAACAACATGTGAGTGACAATGCTCCTCCGAAACTTGAACATGCCCCCGAAAACCAGCCCCCAAGGCCGAAACCAGACATCCTATCCCTTAGCACCTTCGCCCAAACCCTTCGAAATAGCCACGCAGCCACGCAGCCCACCATCCTCAACTGTTCCTGCAGCTCAACTCTTGTATACGTCGAGCCGACCGATGGCAATGGACAGTGAGCAGGCCAGGTCTAGCGGGCTTCCTTGGGCGACGGCTTTGGACTTCTACAGTACGAACTTCCATAAGTTGTAAATGTTGATCTTGTATTGCTCGATTCTCGCCGGGCCTCGCGCCTAGACAGGGGACCTCCCAGCTTCTGTGATCCTTGGTGGCCCCAACAAGGCTGAGGGTGAGCTGTCGTGAGGGCTCCACACATGCTGGTACAAGATACACCTGAAGCTCCACCACACAGCCATGTTGCCTAATGATTTTGTATTTGGCAGGCCATTCGGCATCCTGACTGAAGTCGTCAACGTGAACACGTGGCACGTCTGTGCAGATGCGCGGGACATCGTCGTAGCAGCCATCTGAAGGAGAGGGAGAGGGAGAGGCAGAGATAGAGAGAGAACAATGACGAGAAAGAGCAGCCTGTCGGGACTTCCTGCGTCGCCTGGACCAACTGCACCGACGAAAACGCAGAGTGCCGCAGTTTTTCTCCGGGCAAGGCGACCACAGAGACAGGCAGAGATCAGACGGAAGAGGACACATGCAACGGAGCGGACCGCGGCCACAAGAAGACCAGAAACGACAACACCCGCGAAGGGGTCGACATTGCAGCCCGGTCAACTCCCGACGCGCTGCAGATCACTGCTTAGCAAGAAGTCCGAGTACTGAGAGTGGCATGCGTCGCAGAACGCACCACGGACTAGCCCGCCGTCAAGGCCTCGGAAGAAACTGTAGGAGATAAAGCAGGCGGGAGGCTTCAGGACAGCCTCACAACAAAGAGGCGAAAAGCGAACAGTGGGTGTGCCACGTGAGCGTGAGGGTTAACCCCGCCAACGCTTGAGAGAAGAAGAAGAAGAGAGACACAGAGACTGCGCATGTGAGAGTGTGACGGGGAGAGAGGGGAGAGGGAGGGAGGGAGAGAGAGAGAGAGAGAGCGGGCAGGCAGGCGAGCGGGTGCGGCTGGAGCGTCTGCCTGCTGTGCATGTTGAATTTCAGTCGCGTGTTGCCCAAAGTGCCAAGAGGTGTGTCTACACAGGCGAAAACAGTCTGAAGTCCTCTGCCATGGTGTGTCCCGTCAGTTTCTTCGCTCGACATCGCGGGGTATCAGAGTGGCACACACATGCTCTGAGTGCTCATGGGGTGACAGCCTTATTGGTCTGGGCTATCCTGATTGTGCAGTTGGCCACAGGAACAGTCGCAACAGGTCACAAGGTCATGAAAGTCCACAAGTATTTGGGTCGGGTGCAGATGCTGCTGTCCCCACCCCTCATGATCAGTGGCTGGTGTTTGTTGCTCTGGAAGGCTTACGTGGACTTTTGGCTTCATGGAGCTTACAAGCACATCTTGGTGGCGGATTCCATCTATTATGTTGTTCCTCAGATGTCGCTGCTTCAAATGCTGTACTTCTACGACGTAACGAAGCTACACCTGACATCTCCACTTCACCGGATTGTCGGGGCTTGGGAAGGATATGTTCGTTCATTTGCACTGGTCTCTTCTTGCGCCTCCACGGCACTTCTCGGTTGGAGGTCCTGGTGGGAGCAGTGGGGTCTGGGCCTTGAGCTGATCATTCTCACATTTCCCATGACCATGCTGGAGATGTACCTGAGCTACAACCACGGCAGTCGTCGTAAGCTACCTCATGCCGTGGATGGGCTCCTCTACACCTTGAGCAACATCCCAGGGACGCAAATCGTGCTCGCCCACGATTGCTATTGGCTTCGTGATCAATGCCTCAGCTGGACAGAGATCTTTGCATTGGACTCCTTCGTTCTGCTGCTTGCATTCATCTGGTTCGGGCAGAAGTACCGCTCTTGCAAGGGGGACAGGTTCAAGGAGACCTTCGTCGAGGAAAGCGACACCAGAGAACCCAGTGGGATCAAAGCACGCGACAGAGCCGACCCAGTCCAAGCCAATGCCGATGGTCAGAAGAAAAATCTGGACCCTGCATGTATAATGGACCTGGGTAATCAGACCCTCGAGATGCTGAAGCATGTGCCCTTGAGTTCGCAGCACAACTTGTGGCCTGCCGTCAAGCCGGGTGAGTTGGCGGCAAAGTTCCACACGAATCCACCAGAGACCCCCAAAGAGTTTGGCGAAATCTTGAAGAAGATGGAAAAACACGTGTTTCCAGGCGTGGTGAGCTGGCAGCATCCATTGTTCATGGCCTACTACCCATGCAGCGCCTCGACCCCGGCAATCCTTAGCGAACTGGTGGTTGCTGCTATCGGCTCGGTTGGTCTGCAATGGGCTTCAAATCCCATCGCGACCGAACTGGAGGTGGTGGTCATGGATTGGGTGGCCAAGCTACTGAACCTAGGAAAGGCCTTCGAGCACAGCTCTGGAAGAGGTGGTGGTCTCATTCTCGGCAATTCAGGCAGAGGTTAACCCATAAACTGTTAAGCGCTTTATTCTAAACTCTAAATCCTAAAACCCTATCTCCGAAGCCCTAAGCATGAAACGCTATATACTACAAACCCTCACGGCCTTAAAGCAGTCAACTCTCACCCTCAGGTGAGGGCATGCTGAATGCGATGCTGAGCGCAAAGATCCGGAAGCACCGCGAGGTGAAGCCTTCCCTGACTTGGGAGGATGCCTTCTACCAAGACACTTCCTCCTTCGTGGCCTACGCCTCCAGCGAGGTGCTGAATTAGGGGCTTAGTATAGGGTTTATGGGCTTCAGTAACTAAATCTTTTTTTGGTGTGTGCAGGCGCACTACAGCGCGATCAAGGCCTGTCGCCTGGCGGGTTTGCGCACGAAGATTCTGCAGGCCGAGGCCGATCCTTCGGGGAACTTGGCCTTGAAAGCCAGCACCCTTCGAAAAGCCATGGAGGAGGACCGGAAGAATGGCCTTATGCCGATCGCCCTGATGCTGACATATGGTAGCACCAACACCTCGGCAAAGGACGACTTGGCATCCTTCAAGGAGTTTGCCAAGGAGCTCTGGATTCATGTTGATGCCGCATATGCCGGAGCAGCCTGGTGCTTGGAGAAATTCAAGGACGAGGCTGCTCCGCTAGCTGAGGTTGCAACCTCTTTAGGCGTCAGCGGTGCCAAGTGGTTCCTCTGTGGCTTTGATACCGCCTTCTTCTGGACGAAAGATCGGCGCCTCCTCACTGACGTCTTCTCAGCCTCCGGCTCGTACATGGTAGACGCGATCGAGGAACCATCCCAGTATGCGCCGGAGTTCAAGGATTGGGCCGTTCCCTGCGGTCGACGATTCCGTTCGCTTCGAGCTGGGACCCCAGAGCAGAATCGGTTCAACATGGCCCAGGGTTCCCAACAAACCTCTAAAGCCTGGTTGTTTCCATTCGTCCCCCCTCAAATGTAGGAAGCTAGGGAAGAGTTGGCAGAGCGAGGTGTGGGCAGTCTTCGAGTATTTTGGGACGGCGCACTTCAAGGGCTATATCCAACAAAGCATTGACCAAGCTGACTGGCTGCGAGCTCGCATTGATGAACACCCTGCCTACGAGCAACCTGTAACAACTCAGTTCGGACTTGTGTGTCTCTGTTCAGTACATGGGGACGAGACCACCAAGTTCCTTTGCGAGCATTTGCAAGGCCACGGTTTTGGAGTGCTTTCCTCTGTGCTCCGGGGCACGGTGTTCCTGCGCATTGCGCTTGGGAGCCCATTGACTGAGCAAGTTCACATTGAGGCTCTTTGGCAGAGCATGGTGAAGTTTGCTGAGGAAGTCCCGTAGACTGGGGCATGCGGGCAGAGGGTCCTATGTAAGCTTAATTAATATCATTTTTGAAATGATATCTCCGTTCTTTGTCGCCTGGCCCGGAGGGCTTGAAGCTGTACCCTCCGTTCTTTGTGTTTGGATGGGTGGGCTCGTTTCGGTGCATTGAACTGAGTGGACACGGACAGCGCAGCGGCCGAGCTGTTCCAGATTCCAGAGTAGAATTCGTGTATTTCAACATCTCGCCGGCTGCCAGAAGCGTTCTATCGCCGGCTGCCCGAGCGTATCATTGCTCGGCATACCGTGTTCGGCCTGCCCAAAGTGCGAAAAGAAAACGCCCAAACTCGGGATGGCACCCAGGCAGGTCTTTGCCAGGTCTTTGTGCGAGCGCAGGATTGCTTTGATCGATGGCGGCCCGCCAGGCAGGCGCGTCCTCGACTCTGCGTACCCTATATATAGGTATACCCCCTCCCTAACCCCAAACCCCCCCTCCCCCCCCCGCTTGCGCGCTCCCCCCCCTCCCCCCACTTAACATGCCATGATGGCCATGATGGCCGTGCGTTTGAGATATTGCTGCATACTCACAGTTTGGGGGCCAGCGGAAAAAGCTTGTTACTACAGATGACGAAGGTGTA